GCGGCACCTGCTCCACGGCAAACAGCGCATCGTACTGCAGCACCACGCTGCCCTCCCTGCAGGGACACCGCTCTGAGCTCACGGGGCAGACCCCGTGCCCAGCACCTCACCCAGCACTGCTGTGACCCTGCAGCACAGGACAGGCCCTGCACCCCTGTGCCAGGGAGCAACACGTGCTGCGGGGCTGCACCAGCACCCACCTGATTCCCGTCACCTCCAGCCGCAGGAACCCGGGCACCGACATGAAGAGGGGGGTGACCTGCACAGGGGGGGAGCTGAGTGCCATGGCCCCCAACCCACAGCCCCCCCGGCCCCCCTGCACTCACCGTCTGGTTGAAGCTGTGCAGCAGCTCCTGGCGCTCACGGGAGCCGGGGTCCTGCAGGGCCGGGACGAAGCCCATATCCAGCACGAGCTCGCAGGGGATCCGCAGGAGGGAGGCTGCAGGAGGAGATGGGGACCACCGTGACATGGCCCCACCCCAGGGGCCACCACAACTGACCCCCCCATGCTGGTGGCCCCCAGAGCCTCTCCCCCTCCCATCATGTTCCAGGAGAGGGTCCCAAACCACCAGACCCACCTTTCGGGAGCGGGGGCTGATCTTCCACGATGAACACCTGTGGGGCCCTGCCTGCCCCTGCTGGCATCAATCGGGGGGCATCAGTGTCCAGCTGCCCCGCAGGGCTGCTCGATGGCTGGGCCAGGTCTGTGTCCTTCACAGCTGGAGGGGACCTGGGGCCCCCACGATGGCCCAGGGTCCCATCAGGATCTGTGGGCTGCTGGGGGGTCCTGGGCATCACGGTGGGCACAGGAGTTGGGGGCCCCCAGGTCAGCCCTGCCACGTCCCGCTGCAGTTCAGCAGCACCAGGCTCCGGCGTGACCGTCCCCTCAACCCTGAGCAGCTCTGGGCTGGCAGTGGTGGCTGTGGTGGTGGCTGTGGTGGTGGCTGTGGTGGTGGCAGCCACGGCGGTGGTTGGGCCCAGGGAAGACGCAGGCTGGGATGAAGGTGGCTGCTGGGATGGCCCAGGGGCTGAGGGAGGGGCCAGGCTGCCCACCCCTAGCTGGGTCCCCTCCAGGATTTGGGGGCTCTCAGCCCTCAAGTCAGTGTGGGGAAGCCCTGGGGAGGGGTCTCCTGGGGGGGTGCCCACAGCAGGGCCAAGCCCCAGGACCCCCCAGCCGGTCCCTGGGGAAGACAGCGGGGTTGGCAGCAGGGTCACTGCCCCACTGGCTGGGGCAGGCTGTGGGGACAGGGGGACATGGGGGGACCCAGGACTGGCATGAGTCACCCTGCTCTGCACCACAGCACTGCTGCTGGGGGTCAGAGGGGATGGGGGCTGCCTCGGCACAGCTGATGGGTTCAGGGGGATGTGCCTGTGCTCAGGGGAACCCCCCCTGTCCAGTGGCCCCAAGACTCCTGTGGTCGGGACCAGGGTTCCCCCTGGGCTGGAGGATGTCACCCCTGGGGTGCCGGCTATGGTGGTGGGGACAGGCAGACCCGACCTCCTGCCTGTGGCAGGCAGTGAGGCTGGGCCTGTGCCCAGGGCTGGCCAGGCTGTGCTGGCCACAGGCCCCTCACGGCCAGCAGGCCCCAGGGACAGCACAAAGTGGGAAGGGGCAGAGTGGGGACCCTGCCATGGGCGAGAGGCAGAGCCCTGTCCTCCTGCCAGCCCTGGCCCCGGCAGCCCCTGCTGTGTCCCCTGCCTTGCCCCTGTGGGGGTCAGCAGCCTCTGCAACCCCTCCACAAAGGGTGACATCCCTGTTGTCCCCAGCACCGGGCTGTCAGTGGCCAGAGTGGTGGCTGGGTGGGTCCCTGGGCTCCTGTTACCCAGTGGGACAGTGGCACCTGGGCCCTCCCCAGCCCTCAGCTCAGGGAACGAGGAGCTGTGTAAACCCCCCTGGCTCTGCACAAGGACTGTCCCCATGGACCTCCATCCCAGCAGGATGTTGGGGGTTCCCCTCTGTCCCCCAGCAGAGCCTGGCACTGCCATGGTGGGTAGTGAATGCAAAGGGGTCCCTTGCATGGTCGTTACACCTTCCTCTGTCACATGTCCTACAGGGTGAGTCCCGAGGGGGTCCGTGGTGGCAGGATCTGTGTCTGGCTGCACAGGGACTGGGGCTCCCGCACTGGTCACCAGCAGCTCGCTTCCTGCAGCTGCCTGCTCGGTGGTGCCTGCAGACACGGGGGGCCTCGGATGCTCAGTGGCTGTTCCACCCCACACCGCTGCTCCTGTTCCCTCCTCGCCCATCCGGGGGCCTCTGGGGCTCCCCTGGGGGCCGGAGGGCTCGGCTGTCCTGGCAGGAGTCCCAGGGAAGGGCAGCAGCTCAGCCTCTGTCCACAGCTGCCTCACGGCCTCCGGTGTCGGCGCCTGCCCCACACCAGCTCCTCGCTCTGGGTGATCTGCAGGCAGGGGCAGAGTTGGGGGGTACTGAGCAGGGCTGACCCACGGGTCAGCACCCCACAGCTGCCAGGGTAGGCACCTTTGGCCCCATCGTGCCACCCACACACGTGGCTGGCACGCAGTGCCCCAAAGGGCCGCGAGTGGGACGTTCCCAGCCCGGGGGGTACCTGTCCGGCAGCGCTCCCCCGCCGCGGTCCCCAGGTGGGCGCAGGGGTCGGCAGTGCCCAGAGTGGAGCCCGTCCCGCTGCCCAGAGCGGGGCAGAGCCTCGCGCAGCATTCCACGAGCACTGCGAGGGGAGGGAGCAGCGCGCATCGGTCCGAGCACCGGGCACCCTGCACCGGCTACCGGGCACGGCACTCCCGGAGCCGCCGGCGAGGCTGGGGGGCTCGCTTTCTTCCCTCCGTTAACAGCAGGCGGCTCCGAAGGAGACGCTCCGGAACAACCCAAACCCAGGTGAGAACACCCTGCCCCGGTCCCAACGAACGGTGCCAAGTCCTGCCCCACCGCCACACTCCGGCTGTGCTGGGAGCCCCCGGTTTGACCATCAGAGCCGCCATGTGCCAGCACCGGCACCAGCGGGTCCGCGGGAGGGCACGACGCCAGCAAACGGGAGAGGGCTCCGGGCAGGGCTCCGGGGCCCGCGGCAGCCCCTCTCCAGAGAGAACGGGCGGTTCATCGGGAGCACGGCGAGTGGTCACCGCCCAGGTGGGGCCAGGGCTGCAACGGAGGTCACCACGACCCCTTCGGGCCCCGCTCTCCGCCAGCCCCTCACCGGGGCTCCCGCGGGCGCAGCACCCGCCGCCTTCGAGGCCACGGAGCCGCCCGGGCTGGTGGCACAGCCCGGCACGGAACGGCCACGGCGCGGCAGCGACCGCGGCTCTCACCGGCCGCCCCCGGGCTGCCCGCCCCGAGTCCCCGCGGCCGGGCCCACCCCGAGCGGGTCCCGGTGACACAGAGCAGCAGCCACCGCCCCCCACCCAGCGGGGACCCAGCCCCACCGCAGACCCCCGGGCCGCCGGCACTCACCGGCCCCGCAGCCCCCCGAGCGCAGCATCCCCCGCCCGGGAACCAGCGGCACCGGGGCCCCTTCGCGGCCGTGCCCACCCCCTCGCTCACCTGCGGCGGCCAGGAGCCGGGGCAGCAGGAGCCGGGGCAGCGGGAGCCGGGGCAGCGGGAGCAGCGGGAGCCGGGGCCGCT